GAGCTCTCCATTTTAAACACACAAAATATACATTATCCACAAAAATCTAACGATATATCTAAAGATATACAAAGACTCAAAACAAGGGGATGGAAAAAAACTCACCAACCAAATGGAGAGCAAAAATAAATAAATAAAAAGCAGGAGTTGCAATTCTCACACTTAATAAAATAGATTTCAAAGCTACAAGGATGCAAGGGTAAAAGGATTAATGCAACAATAAGAGATCTTAACACCCAGATACATAAGACACATAATGAGATTTAGATTCAATGAGACAACAAATTGATAATGATATCCAGGATTTGAACTCAGAGCCAGAACAAATAAACACAATAGAGGTCTCCATTTTAAACACATAAAATATGCATTAACCACTTTAAACACTCAAAATATTGATCGGCCATTATTGAAACCCATTTTAGGAATGAAGTAATATTCCTTTTTCCCTCTTTTTCTTTTTTTCCCCTTCTTCTTCTCGTTTTCCCTCAAAAAAAAAAAAATAAATAAATAAACCTGCTGAACTCATGTGTTAGCTATAATATTGTTTTTGTGGATTCTTTAGGGTTTTTAAAATATATAAGATCATGGCATTTGCAAATAAAGATAATTTTACTTTTTCCTTTCCAATCTGGACGACTTTGTTTCTTTGTAATTGCTTAATTGTGCTGGCTAGTATCTTCAGTACAATGTTAAGTAGAAATGACCAGAGTGGACATCCTTATTTTAGGGGGAAGGCTTTCAATTTTTCACCATAAAGATGTTAGGTGTGGCATTTTCATAGATAGCCTTTATCAACTTGAAGAAGTTCTCTCTTTTTAGTTTGTTGAATGTTCTTATCATTATAGGGTGTTAGACATTGTCTAATTTTTTTAAATTGCATTGTTCATTTAATTTTTATGCTTTACTTCTAAAATATGGTGTTTTACACCAAATGATTTTCATATATTAAACCAACCTTGCATTCCTGAAATAAATTCCATCTGGTCATATACCAATTATTATTTCAGGAATAATTTATTTAAATATGTTGCTAGGTTCCATGTGGTAATATTTTGTAGGGGATTTTAATACCTAAATTCATAATAGATATTGGCAGTATTCTTGTGATGCCTTTGTTACAGTGGCGTCCATAGGATGGGTTGTGAAGTGTTCTCTCCTTTGTTTTTTGGAGGAGTTTGTGAAGGATTGGTGGTAGTTCTTTAAGTATTTGTTAGAATTCACCAAGGAAGCCATCTGAGCCTGGGCTTTTCTTTGTAGAAGTTGTTTGATTGCTAATTTAATCTGTAGTTATCCTGTTGTTTTAATAGATTTTAATAGCCTTTACTTGCTCTCCCTGTCCTTCTGTATGGTGTGTTTTCATTGGAGCCCTTAGCCTCTTGATCAGGGCAAACAACCCAGTTTCAGGGGTGATGACTTTCAGGGGTAGTCTCTATTCTGTTCTACAGCAATACTTTGAGTAGGAGTTCATCTCATGTTATAGAGCAAACCTGGTAAGTGTCATAGTTAAGGGAAGCAACACTTCCTATATTTGCAATTGATTGACAAAATCAGCCTGGTGAATAAGTTCTATTTTTTCTGCCAGGAAACTGCCAGCCCCTGCCAAGTTTTAAGCAAGAGGAATGACTTAATTAAGTTTTTAAGTAAGAAAGATCTTTCTGGCACAGAGTGGAGAAGAGATTAGAAGGAATTAAAGATTCTAGCAAATGAGACTGGTTAAGTGGGTGAGCTGGCTTTGGGCCCTTTCTCTGTCCTGTATTTCAGTGGGCTGAATTCTGCAGGCTGTTTCCAGGTGCCCAAGTCAGTGGTTTTTGCCTGGATTTGGTCAAGAAGAGGCACTAGTAGGAAACTGGAAGAGAGAGAGAGAAGCCATGGAATTTCTTTCTGCCTTGGGCAGCACTTTTGCCAGCAATTATGTCTCTTCAGTTGTCCTAGCTTCTGTCATTTGAAACCTTTCTCTGTAGTTTTAGTGGAACTTCCTCTGGGTTTTGGCTGTCTATGGCCCCAGCTTCTGGGCTCTTAAGACTCTACCTCCTCCCCATGTTCTTTCCAGTCCTCGGGATATTAGTGGCTTCCTGCTATTGCATTATTCTGAGGTACGAACCATCCTGTTTGGCCTGTAATGACCAGAGTCATTACATTCTCTTTCAGCTCCTATACAGATAATTCCATACATTCAGTTCACTTTATTTGAAAGAACTAGAGCGTTTTCATTATCCTAACTGGATCCTGAAAGATATCAGAGGTACTACAAAAGCCTAGATTCCAAGTACAAAGGGCTGAATCAAGGCAGAGGCAGGCAGGTCAGAATCCAGAGTCATTTGAAAGAGAAGCAGTAGGCCAGAGAGACAGGCTGTGTATACTGGGAGTTGGTATGGGAAGGTGGTTGAGGGAGGAATCCAGATGACAGTGAAATTTTTAGCTTAGCTCACTGGGCAGGTAATATATTGTTAAACCAAGTTAAGATTGCAGGAGTGTAACTGCCCATTGCGTTCTTCCTGCCCACTGCTCAGACAAAACCAACTCAATGAGACCATGGCATTGCAATAAAGAATTTAATTGACTGAGCATGGTGGCTCACACCTGTAATCCCAGCACTTTGGGAGGCCGAGGCAGGCAGATTACCTGAGGTCAGGAGTTCAAGGCCAGCCTGACCAAGATGGTGAAACCCTGTCTCAATAAAAATAATAATAATAAAAAAAAAGAATTTAATTTACATGAGGCTGCCTGTGCCACATAAGTGATGGAGTTATTAATCAAATCAATTCCTGAAAATTCGGGGGCTAGAGTTTTTCAAGGATAGTTTGGCAGGTAAGGGAATGGGTGCTGCTGATTGGTTGGGGATGCAATCATAGGGGTGTGGAAAATGGTCTTCATGTGCTGAGTCCACTTCTGGGTGGGGCCACAAAGCACAGCTCTGTGGTGGATCTGGTGGGGCTGTTGGTCATCAGAAATGCAAAGACCTGAAGAGACACCTCAAAAGGCCAGTCTTAGGTTCTACAATAGTGATGTTATCTGCAGGAGTAATTGGGGAAGTTGCAAATCTTGTGACCTCTGGAACAATGGCTGAACAAGGGCTGGTAATCACTTATACCTTAGTAGAATTCGGGCTCCTCTCATCCTCCTAACCTGGTGGTCTTTTATTTTATTTATTTATTTATTTTTGAGACGGAGTTACCCAGGCTGGAGTGCAATGGCGTGATCTCGGCTCACCGCAACCTCTGCCTCCTGGGTTCAGGCAATTCTCCTGCCTCAGCCTCCCGAGTAGCTGGGATTACAGGCATGTGCCACCATGCCCAGCTAATTTTTTATATTTTTAGTAGAGACGGGGTTTCACCATGTTGACCAGGATGGTCTCAATCTCTTGACCTCGTCATCCACCCGCCTCGGCCTCCGAAAGTGCTGGGATTACAGGCGTGAGCCACTGCGCCTGGCACCTGGTGGTCTTTTATTAGCTTTACAGGGGCAGTTGAGTTTTGGGGAAGTGCTATTATCGTTTAAACTGTAATCTAAATATCTCCCTAAGTTAGCTTGACCTAAGCCCAGGAATACTGTAGTTTGGGGTTTAATGGAAAGATAGGGGGTTGGTTAGATCAGATCTCTTCCACTGTCATAATTTTCTCACGGTTCTTATTTTTGCAAAGGCGATTTCAGGAGAAGGAGTCCATATTCCTTGGAGGGTAGAGAGAAGATACTGGGTTGGTTGAACATGGTGAAATCTCTTTGTCCACAAGAGGGTGCTATTCTGGGGAAACACTGGAATTCTTCGCTGGTGCTCAGCATAAAGGTTTCCATGCTCTTCATTTGTTGGTCAGGATTCAGGAATAGGTCTGTGTATAGGCAAGACTTGGTTAAAACCCAGGAGTGGCTGAAGCCCATTTGGAGGGCATGGCTAAAGGTTGGGCCCTGCAAGGCCCCAGCAAGTAACAGGATAGCTCCATCTATAAGCAGAATAGGCTAGTGAAGGGGTGGAGGGATGCCAGTGACACAGAGCTTTCCCCTGGGGTGTACAGTGCCTGAAATACACAAGTATTTGGACATTTGTGCCAGATTTACATTCTCAGGGTGACCTTAAACTGTGGTGAAGAGTGTAAATAGTGTCCTGAGTGTCAGGACAAGCCAGTGTGAGGTTTAAACGTACCGTGGAGAAACTCATATTGAGATAATCAATAAATTCATATTGAGGCAATAATCTCGAAAAAAGAGTCATCTTCCCCCTTTTTTGCTTGAATCTCAAGTTCAAGTCCTCCTGCTAACTCTGGCAGGTCTAGGTATGGCGTGCACTCCTCCAGACTCCGGAGGATATGTCCTAGTGTTGCCAGGCCGGCCACATGTCCTGCTGTGTCCCACCCATCCTGTGTTCCAGGCTGCCTGCCTCCTTGCCCACCTACCCTCACCCCTGCCAGGCCACCCCCCGCCCCCCGTTTATCTTCTCCATCCATCTTGGAGTCATCTCCTCTTCCTTGTGCTCAGCATACCCTTGGTGACACCCGTTGTTCCATACAGACCTCTCCAGCCCCTTCTGTCCACACCAGTCTCTCCATCCTGTGATTCTACCTCTATTTATAGCTAGTACCATCTAATTTGGCATTCAGATTTTGTTTAATTATTTCACGTCTGCCATTTGCCTCTCTCAAACTAGACTGTATAATTAATTAATTCATTAAACCAGCAGATATGTGAGTGCTTATTCTGGGCTGGGTGTTGCAGCTATGGCATGCCTGAGCTGCCTGCTTTATCTTCCTGCATTTGCACAGGGACAACAGTGCCTGCTGCAGAGGAGTGCCTGTGACAGAATCATTATTCAACATTTGTCCTGGCACCCAGGGGCTCACTATTGAAGATAAACTCTAGCCAAGTAACACACAAGGTGCCTAAGCAAAAGGGCAACCTTCTCAGTGTATTCTGAGATCCTCTCCATTTCAGGTGAAAATAGGTTTTGATTTGGGCCTGATGTGAAAACAAGTAATCTGTCTAATGCCTCTTCTGCCTGCACTCACCGACGGGCTGGTTCATCTCAGTTTGTGGACTTTCAAGCTGTTTGGCTCTCAAGGGACTGCCTTCCACTGCTCATTTCCTCTGACAGCCAGTGGCTCTCTGGGCCTACTGAATGCAGGTTTCTCCTCTGCAATGCATGCTGGCCGCTGTAGTTTTATTCTTAGGGTTTGGTTTGGCTGCTTACTTCCAGGATCTCTTTGGGGCCTAGACTGCTAGAAAGCTAGTGAGCTTGTAAGACATCACCTAGGCCAGACTCGTATTCGATATTTTAAAACTCCTGAGATGGTGCTTGCTCCGTCACCACCCATCCCTTGGCTTCCACCGTTTTCAAACCATGTCTGGTGTTCATTTTCTTCTCCCAAATGTTCGTGATGCTTTGGGAATGCAAAAAGCATCCATATTTGGAAAGCTCAGAACTCTCTCGGGGGCGGGAGCAGAGCACAGATTGTTCTGCCGAGGACAGTCGTGTGTGGCTCAGAGCATGGCTCTCTGGAGCGGGTCGGAGTGAGGCAAAGAGCAGGAAGGAAGTTGGGGCCGGCCTGGCCGGGCCTCCCTGCGGTGCCCTGACCCCTAACCAGGCAGAGACAGGCAGCTGCCCTGCAGGGCCCACCACAGCCTCTCAAGCCAGAGGAATGCACTTTTGTTGAGTGCCTACTGTGGGCCAGGTTCTGGAATTGTAGTAATAAATTATTAGTAATGATTACAGCATTGAAGTAATTCCTTCTAGACACTGTTCTAAGCACTTGTCCCTCAGCTCCCTTTATCCTCACCACAACCCTAGAGCTAGAGACAGGAATGGAGCCCCCATTTGAGAGGGGGAGTGGGGGTGCCTGCTTCCCGGACTGGGGCTGGCAGGTCGTTTGGGGAGGGGCTCCTAGGTGCAGATTCTGCCAAGTCCGGACTGAAGGAGGGCACGTCCATCCTGGTGTGCTGGGAGGTGCCTTAGTTTGCGTTTAGCGGCCTGTGAACGAGTCTTGGGACCTCTAAAAGCTAAGTCGGGGTCACATCAGCCAGGACTCGCTATTAACTGCCGCCCAAGGTCGTCCCGCAGCGCCTCGGCAGCCGCCGCCAGGGGTCGCGTGAGCCGCGTCCTAGCGGAGGTGCGCTCCACAGCCGCGCATGCGCAGAGCTGTTACGGGCGTCCTCGGCCGGGTCGGCTTTGAGACCGCGTCCCTCCCCCCCACCTCTTCCGCCTCGCCCGCCTCGCGCTCTCGCCCCGCCCCTCCACTCCCGCTGCTTGCCCCATCCCGCCCCGCCATCCTGGAGCCCCTGACCTGCATCCCTTGCCGGTGTCGCCGCAGGACGGCGGGACTGGTTCCTGCCGCGGCCTCCTGGACAGTGGCCCCCCGCCCCCCACCCAGGGCCGGCTGACCTTTTGCAGCCCCTGAACTCGGGTTAATTCCACGATTCAACCCGAGTTCAGGGATGGAGAAGAAAGGCAAACTTGCCAACCCTCTTTATTAACCTCGCATTAGAGAACCTCCCTAGGAACTCACCCAGCCGAGCTCTCTGGGAGGCGTTCACAATTCACAGGCCCTGGCTGTTCCCAGGCAGCAGCTGAGCCTTCGCCTATGTGCCCCTTTATTGTTTTCTGGGACCACATCTATAGAGACTCTCCTAGGAGGTGACAGCATTTAATAACGTTCAACATTTCAATGCATGGGGTATTTACACAAAGAAAGGATCCTGCTTTAGCAGGAATTGAAGTACATCCTGCTTTTCATGGACCAAAAATCCTTGGTAATAAGGACTGTAGAAGCCCAAGGAGGATTTTCCTGAAGTGTTTCTTGATAGATTCATGTCTTAAAGTGAGATCTAATCCCAGCCTTTATGAATTGGATATTTGCTAATGACCATGATCTTCTAGGTGTCATCCTAGAGCTGAAGGACAGACGAGTGACCACGGACATTTTCTGCTTTTTCCCTGGCAGAAAGTCTCCAGTCTGTTGGGAGCTGTGCGGCCACTGCTATAGACCTGCTGTGGTAGTAAGCTCACTGGATCAGGATTTGCCCATGTGACCTTGGGCAAATCATCTCTGTGCTTGAATCTCCTCATTTGCAAAGAGAGGACAGGAGAGAAGATAGAACTCCATCTTTTTTCCTTAAGAATCGGCTCTGTCACTCAGGCTGGAGTGCAGTAGTGCCATTACAGCTCCCTGCAGCCTCAAACTCCTGGGCTCAAATGATCCTTCCACCTTGTCCTCCCAAAGTGCTGGGAGTACAGGTGTGAGCCACCGCGTCAGGCCTGCTTTTCATTTCTGGAAACTTTCAGGTGCAGTGAAAAAAGTAGTTTTATAGAAAAGCCCATGAGTGGAGGGAATGGGGTGGTTAGGGGAGCTTTCCAAGGGTGCTTTCTTTTGGCTGCATGGGAAACCCAGAATGTGGGTGCAGGGGTTGTGAGAGGGTGTGGTGGGACCATGGGCCTGATGGAGATCCACCATGTAAGCCTTCTGCTAGCTGTTTGTTTCTGACTCCAGAATCTCTTCAGCCTCTTCCCATTCTGGATTCTGCTCATGGTGGGAGGCGAGATGGGTGTGTTGCATGTGGCTGCTCATCTCAGGTTGCTGGTTAAAGCTTCCTGTTTATATTTAGACAGTGTAAGAAGAGTAAGAACCCTTTTATTGCCACTGACCCATATTCATATTTAATGTTGCTTGTGTTAATCAGCTCCTCATTGGTTCTCTTTTTGGAAGGAGGCAGAGACTCAGAGAGTCCAGAGAAAGCTCAGAGGGCTGGAGCGTTAGTTGAGGTCGGCTGAGGTGCTTGTTCTTAATTTCTTCTGTGACACCATGTCTGTCTCAGTCACTGCATTTTTAACATTGTTTTGAAAACATCTTTCTCTGCTGGGCGCGGTGGCTCAAGCCTGTAATCCCAGCACTTTGGGCAGCCGAGGCAGGCGAATCACCTGAGGTCAGGAGTTCAAGACCAGCCTGGCCAAGGTGAAACCCTGCCTTTACTAAAAATATAAAAATTAGCTGGGCGTGATGGCAGGTGTCTGTAATCCCAGATACTCGAGATGCTGAGGCAGGAGAATCTCTTGAACCTGGGAAGCGAAGGTTGAAGTGAGCTGAGATCGCACCATTATCCTCCAGCCTGGGTGACAAGAGGAAAACTCTGTCTTAAAAAAAAGAAAAGAAAACATCTTTCCTTCCACAGAGGTGACATTTTTCAAGGGCAGAGTCCTGTTCTGTGAAGGCCATCCCTAGCCCAGAGTGCTGCCCGCTATTGGTGCCTGGTGAGGATTAGTAGAATGGAACAAGTGTGGGACTCCTGTTCACTGGCCCTCTTACTCCTTGCTACAGTTGGGGACTCCAGAAGCTACATTTACTCATCACTGGTGTGATGAGTCCTGTCTTAGGAAGGAAACTAGAACCAAGACCAAAATTACATGGCAGTATGTGTTATCAAGGTTGTGGATCTGTGCCAAAATGTGAACTGTGTTTGATTTTGAATGGTGGAAATATGGGTGGTGGTTATTGTCTTCTTGATGCTTTTCTGCATTTTTTCAGCTACCCCTCAAAAAAACTGGGGATTATCATTGTCCCAGGAAAGGCATATATTGATAAGAGTACTTATTGAGTATTTACTGTATGCCAGACACTGGGCCAAGCCTTCTAATAGTCAGTTGAAACAAGAGGAATGGAGCCTCTGTGATGTTAAGTAGCTTGCTGCAAATAACAGAGCTGCTAAACGGAGAAGCAAGGGTTGGAATCCAGGTCTGTTAGAAGCCCAGACTTTTGTTCTCCTCTCCCCTCCCCTCCCCTCCCCTCCCCTCCTTTCTTCTTTCCTTCTCTTTCCCTCTACTCCCCTCCCCTCTCTCTTTCTGTTCTTTCTCAGGGTCTTGCTCTTTGGCCCAGGCTAGAGTGCAGTGGCGTGATCATGGCTCACTATAATCTTGAACTCCTGGGCTCAAGTGAACCTCCTGTCTCAGACTCTGGAGTAGCTGGGACTACATGTGTGCACCACCATGCCCAGCTAATGTAAAAAAAAAAATTTTTTTTTAGAGATGAACTCTCACTGTGTTGCCCAGGTGGTCTCAAACTCCTGGCTTCAAATAATCCTCCTGCCTTGGCCTCCCAAAGCACTCGAATTACCATAAGCCACTGTGCCCAGCTCTGCATTTTCACTCTTAATATTTGACCCAGCAGTTCAGTAGTTACATAGTAGAGGTGATTTTTAGAAGAAAGATGAAATAATTAATCATTTTAAAATGATTAATTTTATGTTATGTGAATTTACCTTGATTGAAAAGAAGTTCTGATATCAGTTATAATATCTATGAATGTTGAAAATATCATGCTAAGTCAATCAAGCCACATAAAAAAGATCACAACATATGGTATGATTCCATTTATATGAACCATCCAGAAGAGGGAAATACGTAGAAATAGAAAGCAGATTAGTGGTTCCCTGGGGCTGGGAGGAGGGTAGGATGGGGAAGAACTGCTGATAGAGATGGGAGTTTTCAGGGAGTGATGAAAATGTTCTGGAATTAGCCAGTGGCGACTATGTGAATATACTAAAACTATAGAAGTGTACACTTTTAATGGGTGGATTTTATGGTATGGGAATAATATCTCAATTAAGCTGTTATTTAATATATACAAAAGTCATATAATAAACAAATACAATTCTTCTACTTGGAGACTTTCCAGTCTACTGCTACCTAAATCTAATAGTGAGGTAATTAATAATAATAATCAGTTACTATTTTCTGAGTGTCTGCTATGTGGCAGGCACTGTTCTAAGCACTTAGCATTTTTGCATGTAAAATCAGCCGTGGATTAGAAAGCAAGGAGTCTGGCCTCAGGTCTCACAGTCTTAGGCACTGTGTGTACTGCTTTACATATGAAGACAGATACACCAAAGAGATGAGAGTGTGAGGTAGAGGCTGCGAATGAGAACTCGGGGGTTAGGCTGTCTGGGTTGGAATCTTCGCTCTGCCACTCACTTACCAGTTGTATACTCTTGGGTGAGTTGACAGATTAGAGTCCTAATTTCCTTGTCTCTGATGGGGAGATGATAGTAAATCCCCCTTATAGGGTTCTCATGTAGGGTTCTCTCATAGAGTTTATAGATGAATTATCGCAAACTCTGAAAACAGTATCTGGAATGTAACTGGCACCCAATGCATGTTATCATTATTACTACTATATGGTTACTAAATAGAGACTAAAAGAGCATACATTCAAGTTGCAGCCTCTCATTTAGTGAGCATTTCAGGTTGAGCTACCATTTCATTTGCTCACAGAACTGTGGAGCCGGAAGGGACATTGAAAGACCATCTGCTTTAGCAGGGGAATGTCTAATCCGAGGCTGGCATCCTCTTCTTTTGTGAGGGGTGTGCATGTTTGTGTGTGTGCCTGTGTGCACCCCCCCTAAGAAGGATATGCTGACTCTGCCAGGAAAAGAGCAGTTCAGGAAAGTACCCAGAAGAGACCAACTGTGGCTCCCAGCCAAGAGACCTCCAGAAATCACAGATGCTCCGGATTGACAGGGACCTCACAGGAGATCCAGGCCAGCGTCCCTCTCCCTCTGCGTCCGCCCAGCATTTGGTAGTTTCCATTGGCATCTTCTCCTCCCCTGTATACCGCTGCACAGGGCCTTGTCCTCCTATTGATCTGAGTCTCTCTGACCCATGTGGGAGCCCAGCCTTTCTAGAGGGGGAGAACACAAGACCAGCAATCTGGGGCTGCCTTCGCCAGGGCTTGGCTTTGTGTATCTTGAGTTTCTTTTCCTGAGTTTCTTTTCAGCCTTGGAAATTAGACCCTTGGACATTGTTACATTGTTTTATCGCCTTTGAAGTTCCATCATGGGACTGGGTTATCAGAAACTTGCTATCATAATAAAGGCTTTCTGGTACTTCCAGCTTTAAATACCCCTGTGGGTCATGTTACAGCAAACCATCAGGGTGTACCTGTCCCAGGCCTGGCTTCCAGAGATGTGGTTAAGATAAATGACGCAGGAATGCCTAGAGTTGTAGTACATAGTTCAGGTCATTACATTTAGTAGTCTTTTCTTACATTACATAATTTTATAAGAGGTTAACTTCCTGTCCATTTCAATGCAATTCAAAAAAATCAAAATATTTGTTTTGGCTGTTAGTCTCTTAGAGTCGTACAGCTCAAGGCAGTATCTCAGTAGTTCAACCCTTCA